GAGCATTCTAATAACATTGCTAATACCTGTTTTCCTATTTTTCCTGATATAGCCGTTTTGTGAGCGAAGAAAAAAAAATTTTTCGGTGTACCCTCGCAGATAAATGCCATTTTTGTTTTTATGGAATTTTTTGCTGGTCAGTTCCCTGGAACTTTTCGGCTGAGCATTTCTTGCATATAGGTTGTTTACGAAGAAATTTAATAGAGCACGTTGGTGTATTGCAAGCTGTTTTAAACGAATAGAACAATTCAGTTTTTGTGTGAATTATCAAATATTCAAAGTCGTTCACACAGAAATCACTGTAATTTACAGTTCGCATTTTTTCATCGCTAACGGGATTCCAGTTCAGCAGTAGTAGGGTCATTTTAGGCGCCTATACGGAAGCGTGTGAATAAGAGAGGCATAAAATAGAGAAAAATGGAGATGAAACAACAGCTGACCAGAGTAGTGGACTGGGTTTGATTTGTTAAGAGCGGAAGATTGGTCGATTAAGACAGATATTTGCTCGAATCACTGTGTGCTAATTTTTAGGTGGATGGCTGAGGGTATATTGTTTTCGGTGATAACTCGCCCAGGCTGCACAATCGATGATCTCAAGCTGAGTTTTGCCTATGTGCTGCAACCACGTTTGCTTGTTGAACTGGTCCGAGTTTTGGAGATGGCCGGATGCCTTTCTGTTCGGAAATCCGCTTCAGAGCCATTTCGGAAAAAATCTCCATTTGACTCTGGTTAGTTATTGTATTGATTGAATATGGTTTTTTTTTAATCATCATCATCCTCCTCCACATCAGTGGACTTCAAAAAATGCTACTGTTCAATCCTGGCTATAACTGGCTATAATTCTTGGTTTTTTTTTTCTTCAGGATCATGTGAAGCGGATGTTTTCTACGTTATTCCAACTAAAGATGCTGTTGAACGATTTTCACGTATATTTGCCACTGTCCCATTACCAATTATACTCACTTCACGAGCAGAATTTGTTTAAATTATGCGCCAAAATTAGAGCGATTTCACGGTGTTCATTTTTTTTTAAAATCACTTTTTTGTATTAACATTCATCTTTTTCTGTACA